CTGTCTCTGTCTCTGTCTCTCTCAGTCTCCTCATCTTGTTAATCTAAACGAGGACCCGCTAATGTCCGAATGTTTGTTGTATTATTTAAAAGAAGGTGTCACTAAAGTGGGTCAAGTTGGTGACATACAATTATCAGGAGATTTCATACTAGACCACCACTGCTCACTTATACATGAAAACGGTGAGACACCAAAAAGCATATGTACATGTACATTGTATAACCAAGAGTACATGATGGGTTAGTGTAGCCCATACTGTTATAGCACTTGATAATTAATACTTTAAATATACATGTACATGTACATATGTAGATCGAGCAATAACACTTTTATGCAGAAAATATAGTACATGTACATGTAGCTTCCAGATATTGTACAGCTAGTTATTGCTGCAGATTTTGTATTTTACAAAGTTAGACAGAAATATCAAAATTTTGTATGGTTGACACCTTAATTTTGATTGATTCCCTAATTCTTTTTTTCTTTCATTATCTATAGGTGAAGTGAGTATAGTCCCCAGTGAGAATAGCATTACGTTTGTTAACGGACAACTGATAACTGAGTCATTGACACTGTCAACTGGATCAAGAATAATATTAGGGAATAATCATGTGTTTAGATTCACCCATCCTGAACAAGGCATGAATATACATGTACATGCACTAGTACTAGTAAAACTGCAATAGTAATGATGATAATGATATAATATTAAAGATATTGATGCGTGTAAAATTGAAAATAATAATAATACAATAACAATAATTAATCATTATTAAATATTAATTTACTGTATAATTGTGTTTTGTTAAATCAATATGAGCAGTTTTGTTGTCATACACTGAACAAGTATGGGAATTGATGTGTTGGTGTTTTTTATAATTGTATTATAAATTATATAAAGGCGCATTTACTGCACTTCTAATTAGCATCATCATCATCATCATCACCATCATCATCATTATTATTATTATTGTTGTTGTTGTTGTTGTTGTTTTTATGTAGCAAGAGCTTTGAGAGCCAGTAGACAGACAAACACGTCTTTAGAAGGTAATAATAAAATAAAAAATTCCGCAATTTAATAAATATTGTTTAATTAATAGGTCCAGAAGGTCCCCCTGGGATAAAGGTCACGTCAGATTCTTCAGTGTCCCTCCCTTCCTCTCGTCCTGCTTCTCCCGGGCTCCTCGGGGGCCCCCTAGGAGTCGACTGGGGTTTCGCTAAGCACGAGTTGCTGCAGAAGACTGGGTATGACATTGGGAAGGAGATCGAGGAGAAGGAGAAGCAGTTTGAAGAGAAAGAAAAGAAATTTGAAGAAAAGTAAGTACATGTACATGTACACGTGGAGAGGAAAAAGAAAAATAATTTAGAATAACAACTACCTACACTTAATATCCTTCCTTAATTCTCAAAATTCCTTTCTTCTATAAAGGATCACAGAGTTAGAGGAGGAGAAGGCTCAAGCAGTAGTACAACTGGCCCAGGCTGCAGAAGAGAAAGCTCAAGTAGAAGAGTTATTAGTACTACAGAAAAAGGTTTGAATCTCTCTCTCTCTCTTTTCCTTTCACTGTCAATACATGTACATGTACAAGCACTTTAAATATCACACAGTGAAAACAAGCTCAAAGTTTCAGATAATAGTTTTAAAGATACATGCACTTAAAACTAATCACTGTACATGTATTTGTTATTTATAACTCTATAGTGCATCAATTTAATACTAAAATTTACTTTTATTTATTATTTTTTTTAGGAGTTTGAGAAACATTTGGAGGAAATAACATTTGAGCAGCAGAAGACCCAGTCGGTGATTGAAGAGAGACTGGTGGAACAGTTTAAGAAAGAAATGGAAACTAAACTACAAGCCAAAGTGGAAGAAGTTGAGACTCTAAAGAAAGTAAGACTATACATGTATGTATATGTATACTAATATTGATTTGGTGTAGGAGAATCAGGAAAGAGTGGAGGCTGAGATTGAAGAGAAATTGACTCAGAAGTTTCAAGAAGAGCTACAGACACAGCTGGAAGCAAAAGCACAAGAAGTGGCCTCACAGAAAGAAAAAGTACAAAAAACCAAAATACATTTACTTTAAAGTTTTTTCCTCCATCTTTTTTGTTTTCTCTTCTCTTTGTAATTCCTGTTTATAATTTGTACAGGAACTGCAGGAGATTATGGAGGACACTCAGTCAAGAGCACACACTCAAGCAAAAGTTGAAGCAGAAGAATTGTTCCAGAAACAAAGACAAGTATATAAAAAGAAGAAAGAGAAAGCATATTTATTATTTCATTAAAAATGAACTACATGTATAATGTATAATGTGATGCGTTTTTGTTGGTATAGGCTTATGAAATGAAGATATTAGAAATGGAGGCTCTTATACAAAAGAGAAGATCAGAAGTAAGATTAATGATTGATAAACTGGATAGATTATCATTTGTGTCTTTATTACAGAGTTTAGCATACATACCACCAGTTGAGGAAGAACCAATGAGTAAGTATTGTTTGTTATTGTTGCTATTGTTGTTCGTATTCATGTGTACATGTATAGAAGGACTTGAACCTCATCAGGTAGAAATTGCAAGAAAAGCTATTTCAATTTGGAAGCAATACAGGCACACATCACTAAAGGTAACATACATGTACATGTACATATACCTATTACTGTATAGCAGGAAATTTTGGAGGGACTAAAATTAGGTGAATTGCAAAATATTGGTAATTGAAAAATTTTAATTTGGTGAATTTGTGGCCACTTGCCATTGAGCATGCGTATAATGGCTCAAAATGGCGGATTTTTATTTTGGCAAATGGCTATCAAAACGCCAAATTCACCAAATTTAATTCCCTCCAAAATTTCCCGCTATACAGTACATGTACATAATTGATATATTTATAATTATTATCTTTACATTTCATAGAATGAGTTACGTGCTAATGCGTCATTGCTTAAAGAAGCTAATGCCATTAGTCTTGAACTACGTAAAAACGTGACATTTCAGTTTACACTTTTATCAGACACCTGCTACTCACCTTTACCACTGGCTGTCGCATCAGGTAACTTCAATAATTAATTAAACTAGAAGCAATGTAGAACATTAAGGGGCGAGCCTAAGCTAGCAAAGCAATTATATGGCACTGGATCTATCCATCTATAATCTACTCCCGATGATTTCAAAGCATGCATCATGATTTAGGCATAGCACATGATTTACAGTGATGAAAGTTTAATGCTGCTGATAAAATCACTTTCTATATATCATTTATTTTATTTAACTTTTAGTCTTCTAGTTTCACATACACATTTCTTGCCTATAAATGTTTGTAAAGATGCTTTACTTAGCTTTAGATATAATACTATCCAATATTAAGATGACTGAGAAAAAGCTTGATTGACTTTCACAGTTTTAATAGCAATTGCATCAGTAAAGACGAGCTTCATAGGTTATTAATTGAATTTAAAACCTTCTATAGCTGCTGGGGAAGTCTTTGGACAGTATCTGCCTTATATTGCTGCTAGAAAGCTCATGAATTCTTCCAGTGTGTTGGTTGCCATTTTTATTTTACTGTGACCGCTCCCACTTTCAATGAAAAATTGAAAATTGCATTGGTAATGCATAGTATCTATCTACCGTATTAGATCTACGCATAAATAGGGGTGACGTACGAGGACAGACATACAGACAGAGGGACAGACGGGGCGTGACTGAGAGTATAGCTAGAGTGGGGCGAGCTCAGGCTCGCCCCAATAATTAAACATGTACACATGTACTTGTAGCTGCATTATTGAATTGTTGTTGAGTTATAGTCATTGTTAGATCTAGAAATAAATTTTGGGAGACCAATCTAACTAAAAGTGGGAGGCTTAAGGACACCTAGGCTAAACCAAAAGCTAAAATTTCAAGAGACTTAGACCAAATATGGGAGACCAAAAGTCTTCTAAACTCGGATCCCTCTAGATCTAACAGTGACCTTAATCAATATTAAAAATTTTAATACAAAAATTGTTTTTGTTTTTTGTTATTGGTAGGTGCTGATACAGATTTGGATTCAGATGATGCTAAAGAAGCATTGCTAGCCTATCAGAGTGGGAGTATGGGTAGAGTAGGAGGACCAGTACTGGCAGTGGAAGTGAGAGATGGGAAGCACGGATCAACTCACATCTGGTCTATGGATAAACTGAAGTAATTACAGTGTTATTTATACAGTTTAGGCCCAGCGACTAAGTTTATAATAATAATAATAATAATGAAAGTGAAAAAGGAATAGTATTAATAATGAACAAGCTAAAATTAAAACCATCAAGGGTATTAGTGTTAAAACTTAAAAGATTTATTTCTACATGCATACACCTTTAGTTCCTTCTCACTAAGACTTATACACGTTCTTTTTACTTTGTACTGATTTTAGAGAAGTCTTGAAACCATATTCTTACTGCTATGTAAAGCTTAAGTAACTTTGCCACATTCAAAAACAAGAGAATACAAGAGAACTTTGCCCCATTTTGAATTTTAAAAAATGCACACACATACATGTACATTGTTGAAATCACCTTCTCTTATTATATTAGGCAGAGACTGATGACAATGAGGGAGATGTACCAGTCCAGTCAGTGTCCTGATGATGATGACCTCTCCTCTCACCTCCTCCTTCAAACTGGTGACCCATTCTATGACCACAGCTCATGGTTCAGGTCAATAGGACACTCCTACGTGTTTCTAAGTAACCTGTTAGTCCCTGTGTCACTCGTGAGGAAAGTGGCGATAGTCGGGGAGAAGGGAGAGGTCAAAGGTCACCTGACTGTATCTATAAGATACATGGCAGGTATAAAAAACAATTCATTATAATGATTTAATATTTCATATGATTACAAACAAAACCAGTGAAAAATGGGTTGATATACATGTACATGTACACCAATGATTTTTATACACACATCACTCATGTTGCACATATTGTACATGTACATGTATTTTTGTTGTTATTGTTATGGCAGCAAAAAGGAAGCTACATATACAATGTATGTATCATTATTTTTGCTATTATTATTTATTTTTTCTGTTATTTTTGTGTGTTTATTAGAAAGAGAGATGGATGAGAAGAGCATAGCTGAGGCGGTTTCAATAAAATTCGATGAAAATCTAAGCAGACAAGTGAGTGAGAGCAAATGCATGAAAATATCATATATATATTAAGAACAAGAGTCCATTATATTATGGACTCTTGTTAATAATAATATTATGCCATTTTATATTCTTACTGTATATTATTGTTTTTTCTCTCATAGACTCTTAGTAGTGTTTCCAGTGAGCACTTGTTTAAGATTGTCGATCCTTTGACTGAAGAGAAAGCGAAATATGCAAGTAATGATGAGTTCCTTGAACGCAGCTTTGAATTGGCAGAAGAAGCAACTTTTGTGAGTATCTACATGTCTTTTACACTAGTCATTCTGTTTACTGTTCTCTCTTTCTCTCTCCCTCCCCTCTTTCTCTCTCTCTTTCTCTCTCTCTCCCTCCCCTCTTTCTCTCTCTATTACTGTAGGATTCTCCAACTCATTCAGGTCCTGCCATATTTGTCAATGATAAAGAAGTCAAGTTGACTGATAATGCAAGGAAGAGACAGCAGGCAGTCCCAGCTTCAACTGATGCTAGTGAAGTGTTCACTTACAAGCAGTGCAGTGTACCAATGATGAATGGAAAGGTATAAACTTGCTCTATTATTAGCAAGAGTAGATAATAATAGAAGAGAGTGTCCT